TTTCGCCATCAAGAGTGATTTGACTGCTGTTCTCCGTGTTGTGTTTGAGGACCTTGGTTTTCCCCTTGTGTATGTTGAGGCCTACTGATGCAGAGACTGTTGCTACACGAGTTTTCTTCATCTGCATTTGATCGTGTGTATGTGATAGGAGGGCTAGGTCATCTGCGAAGTCTAAATCGTCTAATTGATTCTGAGCTGTCCATCGTATGCCGTGTTTTCCCTCATATGTCGAGGTCCGTAGTGTCGCAATTTGGTCTGTGCACGACCGGTCTTTACGGAATCCAGCTTGTTGATCTCGAAGTTGAGCGTCTACTGTGTCTTTCATCCTGTTCAGTAACACTCTGTTAAAGACTTTTCCTGGTATTGACAGTAGTGTAATGCCTCCGTAATTTTCACACTTCCTCAGGTCTCCTTTCTTTGGAATCTTGATGAGGTGTCCTTCCTTCCAGTCCATCGGCACTTGTCCCTCTTCCCAAATCTTCTTGAATAGAAGATGAAGCATTTTTGTCGTTACTTCGATGTCTGACTTCAGTGCTTCAGCTGGTATATTGTTGGGTCCTGCTGCTTTCCCGCTCTTGATTTGTCTGATGGCCATTCTGATTTCTTCTGTCGTTGGTGGATTGACATCTATAGGAAGATCTGTGTGTGCTGCTTTGATGTCCGGTGGATTCATTGGTGCCGGCCTATTCAGGAGTTCCTCGAAGTACTCTCTCCATCTGTTCCGCTGTTGTTGAATCTCAGTGATTGGTCTTCCTTCTTTGTCTTTGACTGGTCTCTCTGGTTTACTGTATTTCCCTGCTAGCTTCTTCGTTGTATCGTAAAGCTGTTTCATATTTCTTTCTCTTGCAGCTTTCTCCGCCGTCGTTGCGAGTTCTTTCACGTATCTGCTTGTCGGCTCTCATGCTCTTCTTCACTTGCTTGTTTGCTTCTGTATATTCAGCTTGTGCTTGGACTTTCTCTGCTCTTGTTCGACTGTTGTTAATTGCTGTCTTCTTGTTCTTCCTTTCTTTTATCCTGTTCAGTGTTTCTATAGAGATCCATTCCTTGTGATGATGCTTCTTGGGGCCAAGAACCTCTTGACACGTTGAAGTTAATGCTTCTTTGATACCTTTCCAGCTATCCTCCATAGTAGTTTCTTCTTCCTTCAGTAGATCCTGTAAGGCTTGGAACCTGTTGTCTTCATATCCGGTGTTGTTTATTCCGACTTTGGCGTTTAGATCTCCCATCAGAATGGTGAGGTCCTTTCTTGGGCACTTCTCGATGATTGATTGCAGCCTCTCATAGAATTGATCTTTAACGTCGTCGTTGCTATCATTGGTGGGTGCATAACATTGGATAATGTTCATTGTGATCCCCTCCTTTGTTTTGAATGATGCTTTGATGATTCTGGATCCGTGAGATTCCCATCCTACAAGTGCATTTTGTGCTACTTTGGACAGCATTAGAGCAACTCCCTGAGTGTGTGGAGCATCTTCCCTTCGTGACCGGAGTATAGCAGCATCTCTCCCGTATTTAGCCTTTGTTGTCCAGCTTGGATCCAATGGGTTTCGCTGATTCCCAGTACTGCCAAGTTGTATCTCCTCATTTCCGTTGCTATTTGACTGGTCTTCCCGGTCTCCCACATTGTCCGGACGTTCCACGTACCTATAAAAATAGTTGCTCTGGTTGTTAGAAGAGGCATCGGCCTCATGGCTTCCGAAGGAACTCGGCTTTCACCCTGACGCGTCATATTTCTTCTAAATAAAGACCTTCTAACTCCCAGGGCAGAGTTTAAATGTTTTGAGTTATTTTATCTGGTTAGCGTTTTTTTACCGAGTTAGTTTTCTACGGGATGGGGACGCTAACCTCGTTCGCAACCCTCCTCCTTTACCCGGGCTTGGGACCTGCAGTAACTCTATGAGAGCTACAGGCGGAGTTAAACTATCTTTGATAGCCTTTTAAATCTTCTGTTTTCAGTTCGCAAAGATCTAAGCTAAAATGTCTATATATGTTATTGATGTACTTAGTTTGTAGAGTTTAGTATAATTATTTTGATCAGGAACCTTCGAGTTAATCATCCAATCAGTGTTTCTTCCAAGTACATGTTTGTATTTTAAATATTTAAACAAAAGTTAACTTTTCAAAGTATTTCAATCAATATATTCTTTCCCCGTTGCGATAATGTGTAACAATTAAAATTCCTTATTTTGGTCATGAAGAAGGTCGGTCATAATTAACATTTATTATAAGTCGAGCAATAGCTATGGTCTTGAGTGGATTTTACAGCTACAGTAATTTTTTTCCAATGAAACCTGAACAGTCAGTTGTGATATCCCATGGTAACAATCTTCCGTTACATTATTTTTTGATTATTGAGAACACGGGTGATCATTGTTATAATTAACACATTCAAATACAAATATTTGTTAGTCCAAGTTACCATATACCACATTAGCACGACGAGAGGAAGTTAACAAGATGAATAGTAAATTATTCGAAATAATGTAATAATAATAATGTTTAAAGACTGAAAGTATAACTCAAAAAGATAATGGAAGAATATGTATAACAGAAAAATGAAACTCAAGATTTAGTGAGAGATACACAGTCAATGTATCTGCCTCATTGTGACTGATTCTCAGCCAACTTTTGTTATATTCCTAACTAATGATCATGATTATCCTACGGGCCTCGACCAGGTAGTCTTCATCTACCACCATGGCTCAGATCAGTGGTCTTCGACTTGATGAACTGATTGCACATTTTGCTTTACTCACTCGTAGCTTCAACTTATTCATACACCAGTTAGTATTGAAAGTATGCGAATTTAATTGATTATTCCAGCTATAAGTATGATACTTCGGCTGTATTGTTATTCATACTTAAGAAGTATTTAGTATTATCAACCAAGATGATTGATAAGACTATTACAACGACTTGGCTAACAACACGTCACGTAACTGAGGAAGCTGTCTAAAAATGAAATAATCTAGAAGAAACGTCACATTTTTCTCGTTTCCCCATTCCTTTTGAGATATATTCTTCATTTATTTTTTTTCCGTTTATCGTCCATACTGATATTATTTATATTGCTAATATTTCATCTCACCAAGTTTGCTGTGGTATGACAACCTTAAGCTGATACACATTTGTGGCAGGCTCTATTTTAACTGTTATCAGCTTATTTAATCAAACATTATGACAATTTTGTAAAAATGACAATATAAATTCCATCATTTATGTTATTTGGAAAAATGCGTTCTCAATACTCGTTTTCAATATTCGAAGCAACCTATTACAATTAAGTGGTTAGTAGTCACGGATTGTTTAAACGTCACGTATTTGGCCATAATGGCTTAACAATCAGAGTATTTGTTTTTCAATCATTAGGTTTGTTCAATCTTGATAAGAACAATTGCGCGTACTGTGGTTCCCAGTTAACTTATGATAATTGCGAATACACGAATGATTGAGGATAATCTCGTTCGTTTTTTTTTGACAACGTAAAATTACTTCTTTGTGCTTCTCAATGTTATTCCTAGCATAGTCATTACCTAATTCTATCGTACACAAAGTCTAAACAATTATTTTTAACTACATTATGTGCATATACCTCGTTTGTAATTATTTATTTCGATCGCCAACTCAATTTTTGTCATAAATCGACAGAGAGCTAAAGAAATTAGACTTCTAGAAACGTATGTCATCGATCATTGCTATCCAGCAGTATGTTTTTAAGCTGGAGCCTATATTGCAATCACACCGTTATGTTTTTTCTGTTTGAAGTTGGGAACATTTCAACACAATTACTTTACATCAATAGGATGAAATAGATTGATGTTGTAAAGGGGATAATAAAGTTTACTCTTTGTTTTCAATAATTTGGCATTATAAAGAACAGTCTATACTGGTTGTTAAAAAAGCCATTCGGCTAGAGATTCGAAGCGTGTGCTCGATTGATAAAGTCAAGTAATATCTCATAGGCCAACACATACATGTGTGGCAAAAATGAGTAACTTGAACTTGTCATTTATCACTGATTAATAACATTAGGTTGAATTGACGATTATAGCAACCGGATCGCATTATTAACACTCACATCTGGAGCGTGGTTCAAGCTTAAGTACGTAGTGAATAAGTAATTTATGTCATTATATATGAAAATTATATTTGAAATAATCTCAGCGATTAAAATTCAAGTGACAAACTTGTCTGTCGTTTGTTGGAATAATTTAAATTTCAATCGCTGAGATTATTTCAAACTAGACGGTAGTTGGAGGTAGTCAATAGGAAACCCTGGACCCGGGTTTCGTGCTACTTGGCACTCGTCAGCAAGGTGTACCTGTAACCTTAGAAGAACTGGTGCTCCCTGACGGATTAGATCCCGTGTCACCCAGCTTCACAGTCAAAGACGTTGCCGCTGAGCTATCCGGGCCCGCAGTGTCGAGTCACTTAGACTGGCGGCCACGTTGCAACATGGTCGATAGCATTCGGTCTGCACTAATAAAGACTAGACACGAATGACATTGATCACCACCCAGTTATCAATCAATTGTGGTTATTTCAAATATAATTTTCACGTATAATGACTTCTCTATACTCAGCGCCCAATTTTTTGTCAAACTATTTGTTCTATTATTCGTATAGGTTAATTTATGGTTTTGCCATTTCTTAGTTATGATAACTAATGCATAAATACGAAGTTTTAGACTAAATTATGGTCTTTCAACAACTGGATAGTCCATACCTTCGTAATAATGATGTAAATACCATATAAATTAGTGGCTGTTTAAACTCAATAGCTCAGTAGATGTGTTAGGCGTTTGAAGCGAAATAAACATTAATTCCTAGTCTCTGTGAACATTCACACTGAAATACACGTACATCCAACAATTAATAACTTTTGTATCTTACCTATTATCAACCTTTATCTTTTAATCCTTACGTAACTACTATAACAACTTTATTATAACCATATTGCGTTATTCCGTTTTATTTTTTTACATTTTTATTCTGTATAGATTGCACAATTATACTCATTTGATTCATCAAATAGTTCATTTATTCCTCAATTAAAATCTGAACCACTTTGTGAAGCAGATTCAAATTACAATTCAATTCATTCATTAAGTTTAGATTTATGTCATGGTAACACAAATAATACAATTCTAGAACCGGTCACACATTTTGATCCATTAATTGCATCTGTTTTGCAATCATCGAATCAACACTGTCAACAACACCATCGACACGAACAACAATTACATCAACGTTATCAAGACCAACAACAACACCGACAGCATCTATGTCATCATTCACAACGTTCTTTAATGAATCACAGCGGGAAATCATCTTCAAAGACAGTAGATTTATTTACACCACCAATAATTGGCTTAGATATAGATGAATTTCAATTTGATGATGTCCCCATGGAATAAAAATGCCACAACTAATTAATACTGTTAGTAACAAAGATGCATAGATTTACCGATTCACTGTGTCTAACTATTCTTATTTTCTACTTTTTATGTATAAAATCTAATTACCATTTAACCGTTTAGAAATATTTTAGTTTAGTAGTTTCGCTCTTCTATTCTTTTATGTTCTTATTCATCGTCAAATAAATCGAGTTGATCTTTTTTTCTAAAAAGTGAATAAAAACGTACCGTTTCATTTTTTGTTTGTTTGCCATGAACATCGCTGTTTGTATGTCTACTTACTACCTTATTCGTTGTGCTTGTGGTTTTAAGGTATGCGCGTACCTGTTTGCATCTTTTCTCCGTTTCTATTTTCTTTCTGCTTGTTTTTCTTCATATTTATGATTTTGGAAACACATACACAGGTGACTATGTTTAGGAGAGGATTTGGATCATGCATTAGTTTCATTTATCATTATTGTTATTATCATTATAATTTACTTTAAGTGATATTTCATGGTAGGCACAATTTAGCGCCACATCTCATTTGAACAATGGGATTTGATGGCTTTTTTACTTCTATACAAAAATATAAAAAGACAATTGCTAGCATTTTCTCTCCTCACATATATTCTTGTTATTATTCACAGCAATTATTAATAATCTAGTCGCATATACACATATTGTTCACATTGCTTATAAAAATATGTGCCTTTTTGTACGATTGATTATTAATTTATATTTACATTTTCATTTTGTCAAAATTGATAATGATAACGTTGGAATATTTCCTGTATTTATCTTGTTCACATTTTGTAGAAATTTTCTTGCTTCTTCAGATTAGAAGTAGATTTCATTCAATAAGAAAATTACCCGCAACAGTTAAAAATTCCACATTGACATCATTATATTTTTTTGTTGTTGTATCCTGATATTCCATGAGCTGAATCTTTCTTGATGGGTTTTCCCCTTCCCTTAATTCTTTTTACTTTGTCTGCACACTACTAACAATTTGTGGAATTGTTTTTTTATTGTTGTTATATTCATGTTTCATTTTGTTTTCTCATCACTAGCTTTCTTTTCAGTAGATATTTTGTCTGTTTGATATTCCAGTTTCGCACTGACTAGTTCTTGTTTGTATGTGTCCAATCTATAACTACTGTTGTTCTCTTTTATTGAGATATACACATACTCATGAGTTAGTTTTGTCATGCTATCCCTTCCCAGGAACTATAAACCAGTAATGAAAAACATACGGATATGTGTATTGTAGAAGTGCATAAAACTACTTCCTTAAGATTTCTATCACCCACTATGATTTTATCGTCAAAGTAGTCCTTTTTGCAGACAATTTCAATTGGCTACTTTTATAGTCACTTTTTAAACAGAAATCAATAAATCTCCAGTCTTTCTTTTTTTTCCATCAAAATTTCTATTTTTCCTTATTTTTGCTATTATGCCAACTCGTGAAGAGACATGTCGTCTTTTCGGCGCCATCAATCTTTATTTTGATTTAAACAAAGTTGATTTACTACACTCTATTTCCGTGCATATTTAGAATTCACGAAAAAACCTGAAAAGAAGGTTGCTTTTCACAAAAAGAGATTTGTTGTACAATGAAGATTTACTAGCGTTTACACAATTAATTATGGGCATTAACTTAGCGTTCCTTTTCTCTTTGTGTTGTCTATTTCCTTACACGGTTGTACTTTTTATCTGGATAAATAACTGACGATAAGAATAATGAATAGTCATCAGTTAAATTGTTGTTCACTTATCTATATCATCATCATCATATTATTATTATTGTTATTATTATTACTTCTGCTTTTTTCCCGTCATAGATTTTCAGAACATATAAAAGAATATATTACAATTTCATATATCGTTATTTATTTATAAAGATTTGATTAGGAATAAATGATTCATTTAATAATAATGTCTTTGGTGATCAGATCATTTGTACTGGGTTTCCTTAAATCTTTCTACTTTATTTTTACTTCATTGCTTGTTGACTGCATTGAGTTTTCGCTATTTCTTACATACGCACACACACTTGCACGTTCAAATAAATACAATAAATTCACACATACATTGCCAATCAGCTAAATCATGAAATCTCTCCAATTCTCTCTCTCTCCCTCCCTAACATCATTTTTCATTATGGCTGTATATCATAGTCTTATAATCTGTATAGTTTTGGATTCACATTACATCCATAAAGAATGTTGTTTCACTGAGTCTATTTGTATACATCATCTACTTCTTTCCACTTATTCTGATTGTGTGCTTTTGCGTATAGCACACTACACAATCATAAATCGAATCCCAATCAGCTCTCCTCACTTTTTTATTTTGGTATTTGTTTTTCGCCACCTCATTTTTCGTTTTTTCCAAAGATTTTTTCCCATTGCTTTAATTGAAACTTATTATTACTACTACTATTGTGTTCATTTATGTTTACGTCGACATTTTCTATCTCTTTGAACTTAAGATTTGCGTGTCTAGTTGTTATTTTTCATCGTCTTGGCATTTCCCCCCCTCCATTTGTTTTTGTTTGTCTCTGTCACTTACATTTTTTTATTTCTTTCATTTTTATTGCTTTTTATATTTTACGAAGAAGAAAATCAGCCATGAAATAAAGAAACTTTTGCGTGCGTTTGCCTCTTTACTTCATAGTAATATATTGTACATGAAATAGATAATTATCAGAGTTGATTGATTTCATTTGGAAGCAAATTAATGTTAACTTAATGTGTTTTTTGAGGCTGTAACATGTCACAGCAATTTAGCATCTGGGAGGTTCAGTGATTGAAAGAGTTGACAATCAAATCTTCTGTTTAACGAATCCTACTGAATTTAAGTTGGCTGTATCTCCGATATCGTAAAATGTTATGTATGAAATCAAAATAAGCTTTAATCCTATGTTCTATTAAAGCTTTGCATCTCCAATCCACGAACTTACCAAACTTCTTTGTTCGACTTTTATTTTCAGAGTAGATCAGTAATTTCGTTTTAAAAAGTTGCATTAACTCGTCACTATGGTCAACATTTTAGAACAGTTGGAACTCAAAAGGAGCCAAATGGATGGTATCTCTACATAATTGATGAGGGTTCACAATCCTACTAGTTTATGATTCTGTCGCAAAAAAAAAGTATTGTTCAGACAATAATAGTCTGTAGTTTTATATCCACTCTCAAATCTTATTTCACTTGTCACCTTTGAGCTTCAAGGCAGAAAGCTTTTTATTGCTGTTGGTTGTTCCAGTTTTACTTCAGTATGTATATGTAGTTGATAACAACTAATATCCATTTTATGGGTAGTTCCTTGTAGGTAACGTCTCTATGGGAGATAAGCTTTGTGAAGAAACTATCTGATTGGATTTATTTTATGCTGTAGTGAGAGAAGGCTCAAAAATATCGATATATTGACTTAAAGAAATCATTTTTTATCATTTCACTTAATTATTTCGTTTCTGGGACATCTAAAAAAGTGATCTTATTGTAAAACACGACAATAGGCTAGAGAAAGGCATATTTATTGAGAGAAGCTACTAAGTATTTACGTAATATACATGGCGTTCGATCTATTTGCATCTTCCGGTGTGTTCTGCAATCTGGACTGTCTTTCGACTTGCCTCAAAGTACTCTGACGACGCCGTGCTTTTAATGCACTGGGACTACTCACTATGTCCGACAATCGTCTTAACATCGACGTCATGTTTCACTACACACCAACAAATATCCCTGTGAGTAGCGTAAAAGTACACTACCATTTTCCCCTTCCATCCAAAAATTGATCGTTTGATGCTGACACTGAATATTATCTGGTAATTTCAGTTTGTCATTTTTCTGAAACTATGGACGTATCGTTCACATCATGGCAATAAGCTATGTAGCTCACTATCTAATTTAGCCAGAAAAAAATTGCTAAAATTTGGATCTAGTAGTAATCATATGACAAAATTTTCAGTCTTGATGAAAATGATGGTTTATTCTCATTATGCATTTTGGCGAAAGCTTTTTTTGCAGAAGGAATGTGGACTCCTATATGATAGATTATGCATTAATTTAAATGTGACTTTAATTTCGTTGATTTTCGTATTAACTCAGTGTGATTTATGTTTGTTTGTTCATTATAACATTAATTTGTAATGATTAATCTATCGTAATTTTTTATTCACTTGACTTTTGTTTAGTATAATATTTTATTGTATTTCACTGTGGTTTTGTGTTTAAATGACAATCGTTCAGTTTGACAAAATTAACTGAATTTGATCGATATATAACTGAATGAACTCGAAAGAAGATTAATTCTTCTAAGGTTTGTATCAATGAATCTCTCTTGTAAAATTTACGTTTTGGAATAGTCAGGGTTAAACGAGAAAACTGTTGTATATTAGTTTAAAGAGCTGCTAGCATTGTAGCTGGTACCAGAAATCATATCAGAGTGAAATCAGGGTTTTTCTTATTTTTTAATTTTTTCATTCTACCGGGAAACTGGAAATTATACCGTACGTTGTATTTAAGGAAGGATTTTTAAAAGTCCTGCTAACCATTTTTTTCAGTTGTGTTTTAATATCGATTCAATATGTCTATGACTAAATAAATCGATAACCCACTTCTTTCTTGTAATTTTAATGCTTGAATAATTATGGATTAAATTAACTTTATTTAAGCTTTGTTCCAGATCAGTTTTGAAGCTTTATCTTTTAATAAGAAAATATAAAGTCATACTGGGTAGGTAACTCATTACATATAAATTTGTTAAACATTAGCAAAAGTAGTGACGAGAAATTCGATAAAGATATCTTAAACTCTGGAAGGTCGTGTACTTTGAAAAGATTTCTGGTGCATAACTGGTTTATTCTCCTCTAGTAGACATTAAAAGGACTTGAAAGTTCAAGGCGAATTAGAAACAGTACACTGAATAAACCCCTGTATCTTGGAAATATCAACCTATCATTAATTTTCTAGTTAGTAAATATAATATTTACAAAGGTTTTTACTATAGGTAGTTTAATTTGCAAAAATCTCTGTTTATTTATTGAGTTTGTTCTAATGTGTACTCTGAGTACAGTATCCTGTGGGTGTAATCTTCATGCAACATACATATTTCAAAGAATTCATATTGTTTATGAATTTAAATAGAGCTGGGGTAATAATTTGCTCGGAAAAAACCATAAATTTTATTATTTAGTGCCTTTTGTGAATTTTTGTGTATTGTTTAACAACTTGAATTAACAAAATATCATCGGATTGAAAGATAACATAATGGAAATTATTGATTGTATAATATAACTCTGAAAAAGTTAATTCACTTATGATACAACTTTGAAAGATTCTTTGCTATCATTAATTATTATTTAATCTATATATACTTTCTGAGTTTAATCTCTAGGATTATAAATAAACTCACTATCTACTCCTGGTATGGGGAACAAAGACTTAAGTATGATTGATATACATATTGATTTATTTTATTATTGTCTATGACATGTAATCACATTTTAAGGAATAGTAATCATATCAGTTATATTTGTCAGTTATAAGCGCTTTTTTATTTTATTTTAATTGAACACATAAACATTGATACAAAGGGATACCAAATACATATTCGCCACACATTGACAATGAGACCAGTAGCAGTTGTCATTGATTTACGTGAGGGCTGTAATACTGCGCGGGTGCTCAAACCGAGGTAGGTGGTTTTCTTGGGAGGCCACACCACAAGCTTTTGACTTAGAGGTCTAATCCACAAGGCATTTGAGCAACGTTAGAAGATGCAGTCCCATGATAGCCGGTCACCAACAATAGGTTCATACGCCATTTGTTCCTTCAGTATACTGGAGCTCATGTGCACCATTGGTTTGAAGTCAGGGTTTTTCAACTCCCCTAGGTGAACCCTCTGTGTCCACCGACCCGGTTAAAGCACCGGACATTCGCTTTTTGTTCTCTCGATATCGTATACAACATCCACACTGAGAAGTCAGTGAGTAGGACATCCCTGGCAGTGGTTGTATGCACGTGGCCATGTGAGAACATCTCGAGAGGGCTAGTGGACTCTCCCCACCCTCAGTCCTATCAGAGCACTTGGGGGCGCTTAATTTTATGATATCACATATACCTATGTTTGTTCAGCAAAATATTGAATAATCAATGTCAAGTACTACTCAGTCTAATGGATAGAAATCTAACTATATTCAGATATTCATTTTGAGTGTCAAATAAATTCTCATACATTATCTTTATATTTTTACTCTCATCTTCCGATTCACAGTTTTTCTGTTTAAGTATCAAGACATATTTAAAGATACAAAGACTATCTCTTTGTTTTCGAAAAGGGTTATGTAACTAATTACATACAGAATCCAATTATAAATGTTTTACGAAAAATTCGTTTATTTAATCAAAATCAAATGATATTTATATTCGTGGATTGTTTGAAGTTAAACATTAACACCGTTGGATGCCGGCTTGGTGGTCTAGAAGGTATGCGTTCGCTTACGAGATTGATAGGTCCTCGACTCGAATCCCGCGAGGCGGGATCGTGGATGCGCACTTCTGAGGAGTCTAACAGTAGGACAAAGTGGCCGTCTAGTGCTTCCAGGTTTTCCATGGTGGTCTAGCTTCAATTGACTCATGATCTTAACTATTAAAATTACCATAATATCCACAAAACCCCTGATATTCTATTTTAATTTTCTCTTTAATTAATTAATATGTATATCATGTATAAATGCGTAAAAATAATTCCAATCGAAACAAAATATACTTTTTTTTTCATGTATGTGTAAATTAATGTGTTCATAGTGAAAGGAGAAAGTAATCATGTGCTTATGACAATCGTTCATTTTTATTTAATTGTAATCGATCAATAAATAAATACCCAAGTTAAAGGAATTAAAAAAAAACTAATTTACTGATTCACCTCTAACCCTTGATATTTTTTCTGGTGTTACGTCACATGACCAATCTAGTAAACGAGTTAATTAAATATTAACAGAAAGTTAATTTTCCAGCTTATAATAATTGCTTGAATTTTAAGTTGAACTGTTAAGTGAAGTTTTGTTGGATTGAAATTAAAAATTTTGAAGTCATTGTGTTCTATGAGCTGAATGTTTTAGTTATTAGGTTTCTATTATTTTTCTAGATAAAATCATCAACTGTTTCAAAAATAGGTCTTCCTTTTTAAAATATGAGCTGAGGAGGTTGTCAGGCGACAGATAAGGCATAATCGTCAAACCATTCAGCTCATATAACACAACACCTCCAAATTCCTCATTTTGAGCTACGTCGTATTTTTACTCAATGTCCAGAACTTCATATTTTTTAAACTTCTATTTTACTAAGATTTAAATGACTGATCACAAAATTGACCGGTGTAATTTTCAATTTATATTAGAGTAGAACTTAATGAAAACAGTGTTATTCAGTAAGGATATCGTGTTAATATAATTTTGAATAGAGCAAGTATTATGTATTGTAGTCCAACACTACCCATTATTTAATAATACTGAAACGTAATTATCAATAAAACTAAATTTCCCTAAATCAGGAATACATATGACAAAACCAATGGCCGTAACTTAGTATTATCCTCGGCAAAAATTTAATGGTTTTGTTTGATCTCGCGTTCGGCTAGTGGATCAGGAACACCTTGAAAGTACTATTATTGTATATAAGTCCAGAAAGTTCGATTACTCAGAGAAATTCAAATTCTTTCTCTGAGATTTTACAAATACATTCTTCCTCTTTAATGTCTCACATCAAGTCGGCTCTCAAATACTGTGAAACTATTCGATCAAATTTAGACGAAAGTTCTTATCAATGTCTTTTATCTTTCAGTGAATTGATACAAAAGTCTATCATAGTTTCTATCTATAACTAATCATAGCTTGGCCACCAGTAAAAACCAGGAAGCACTGGTCATCTGATTCATTTTAGTATAAGACTCATCAGGATTGAGTATCCATGAACACGCCCGAGATCAAGTTTAAAACTTTCCGTCTCTGCGGGTACCATCCATCATCCAATGGTGTACTGATCCATATTTGATTCGCGATATTAAACGACTATTTTCATTTACCTATGATCTGGATAACTAGCACAAACCTAACTTGGTTGAATCCCACTAGTTATGGCTTCTCACTATAACTACCAAACATAAACTATGAAAATTCTATAATCAAAAGTCCCTCTATAAGGATAATAGTCTTCATCAATGAAAACTTATCACTTGTTCATGGAATTGCTCAATAGTTTTCTGTTTTCTAATAGACAAAGGCATCAAAATTTTGCAATAAAATCTATTATCTATACTTCCCAATTTTCATTTCCTTTCTTTTTTTTACATAACTTCAATCCTATCATTAATGTTTACTTCATTCGTGTCAAGCATAAACTAGTTATTCATCAGTTACATAGTATGGTTGTGGCTCAATATTACAAATTATCTGAAGTTGAATTTCAACTGAATGATTTAAAAGTAATCCTCTTACCACATGACTTGAATT